TCATCTGCTCCCGTGTGCTCCGATCAAATACATCCCTCTCCTGGAGCTGAGGATTCAGTGCCCTCCTTTGAAATAAATTCTTCGGGGGCGGAGGCGGGGGGCAGGCATTCACTTAGTATTTGGGACTGGGGCCAGCCCCCAAAACCCATTTTTATATACCTCCCCAGAAACAGAGAACATTTAAGTGGCTAAAGCATCCAAGTAACACATCTCTTGGCAAGTCAAATGGTCCCCAGTCTGTTTGTCACCAATAAAAATGAGGAAAGACCTTAGCAAACGTCAACTACCAGATACTGGATGACACGTCACTAAGTGATTTCTGGTACATCAGCTAAATGATTTTGGTAAACAAGCCTACATAAAATTTCCATTACATTCAATTTATTTATATGAACATTTATTTCTCAGCACTTTACCTAAAAGTAAGAGCTGCACAGATGTCAAATCTTATTTTATTCTATCAATAAGTAATATATATCCTCAGATACAAGAATTATTGAGGGAAGAGAACAGCTACATTTGTCTCATTAAAAGATAGGTTTTTGTTGAATAATTATTACATGGTGGTGGTAGTAACAGGTGCCATCAAGTCAATTCGGACTCATAGTGACCCAATATACAACAGAATGAAATATTGCCTAATACATACATGTTGTTCTGATCAATAGTGTACTAATAACTGTAATGATTAATGCAAACCAGAAGATACTTACATGTAGGGTCTTAAGATTACAGTGCTAAAAAAATTTTATAAGCATATAATTATGGCAGAGATGCTTGATAGATGACCAAAATATTTTCCACCATAAAATTGCCCAACATCAGGATTTTAAAAAATCAGTAGAAATAATAGCAAGGGCATACAAGTTGAAAGAAGGAAAATGATTAACATTTCCCCAGTGTTACAGTGTTTTCACACTGTAAATTTAATAATGACATTTAGATTCCATTTGCTACATATGAAAAATTAAATATTCTGCTGAAGTATTGTAATATGTCAGTAATTATGTCCTTTGTTACTAAACTTGTTGAAATGCTACAGTCAGTACTTAATTCTAATGTACGGGACACACCAAGTTTTGCAAAATTGTTTCAGGGGTCACATGAATAAAAAAATTTCAAAGGGCACAACTGAGAGACAAAACTGCTACAGAAATCCACTAAGTAAGCACAAAGAACTACATGGTGTCCAAACCACTACCACTCTACAAGGGTCTGCATTTAAAGGGTCTTGGACAGAGTGGGAGAGAAATGTGGAACAAAGCTCAAAATCATTAAAAAAAATTTTTTTAAACTTACTATTCGGATAGACACTGGTAGAACCTCCATGGCGATGATACTTGTCACACTTCAAGATTAAAATTGAATTCAGCCCCATGGTTCAATTTTCAAAAAAAAGGTAGGTGTACTGGGTAAACACTAGGGAGTGGTCGTCCAGCCTTAATAGAATAACCAAGCATTTGAGAGCCAGAGTTCAAAGGGCAGTCAAGAGTTAGGAAAGGAAGAGAAACGAAAACAGGAAAAAAAAGAGAGGCAATGGAACTATGTGAAGTTACACTGGTGGCTCACAATAAAGGACATTAAACAAAATGTGCATGGACTGTTGAAAGGAAAAACTGATTTGTCCCATAAATCTTCACCCAATTCACAATAGTTAAAATTTTTAAATCTTACAAACAGAGCAGCCAAACAAAATTACCCTTAAATATTTATCTAACACATGGAAGAATGATTGGATAGAATAAATTAATGAACACTGACTATACAAGTATCAAAATATATTATCATCTTCTATTAGAAATTCATTACAAATACAAAATTGAGCTCTCAGTTTCTCTGCCATCCTGAATGTGGTGTTGCTCCGACTTCACTATGTCGTCTCATAAGACTTTTAGGATCAAGAGATTCCTGGCCAAGAAACAGAAACAGAATCGGCCCATTCCCCAATGGATTCGAATGAAAACCGGTAATAAAATCAGGTACAACTCCAAGAGAAGACATTGGAGAAGAACCAAGCTGGGTCTGTAAGGAGCCCCCTGAGGATGGCACGCATGACCGCATTTTCCCAGTCTCAAATCATGTTGTGTTGCATTAAGACTTTTGTCCCCATCTGATCAATTGAACCTTTATTGGCAAATCTGATTTATTCCTTATTTTTTTTGCTTCCTCATCAAGTCTAACAATAAATAATGTAAGGCTGTTGGTTTGAAAAAAACAAAACAAACAAATACAAAATTGAGACATAGGCCAACACCAGGTCTCGACTTAAAAAGACAAGTTTTAGCACAATTGAAAATTTAATCTAATTTAAAGAAACAAAGAACTGAAATTTAAATTAACAATAGAGTTCTTGCTTTAACTCTTCAAAAGATGTACCAAGTAACTAATTAGGAACAAGTGTTAGACCAAAGGAGGTAGCAAATTTGAATTCACTTATCCATTTTAGTTATAAATTAATTTATTGCTTTAATAATGTATAATCTAAACCATTTTTTCTGGTTTAGAGTTAAAAATAATGTCTTCTATAAAGCCGAAATCTCTAGCATCAAAATGATGTGTGGACAAAGTACTACACTGCCATCAAATATTAAATTCTAACTTTTGTGAGCTAATGTCTTTCAATTAAGTCTCTCCTCCAAAATGTAAAGAAACCAATACAAAGGATCTGCTTGAACCAGGTAGATTTTATCCCAAAAATCATTTACATCTCAAGTTTTGCCATAAGCTACCAAGAGAAGATTGTACTTATTATACGTATTGCCTAGGAAAACACTTGAGGTTAGCACTCCAATAGGTAATTCACTGGGCTACCAAGACTTCTTTGAAGCACACACTTATTAAGTAAAACAGTGGTTTAAATTGCATACTTGGGAGGGAGGGGAAAAATGAGGACCTAATGTCGGGGGTTTAAATGGAGAGAAAATGTTTTGAGAAACGATGTACAAATGCGCTTTACACAATTG